CAGAAAGAGTTCATAACAACAACAAAGAGACACTGATCACAAATCCAACGACACAGAAGCACGATCAAAAGCCACGTGCCTTAAGGTCTCGTGTTTCTGTAAATGACATGTCAAAGCATTGAGCAAGCTTTCATTAAGAAAATAATGAGAAAAAAAACATTTGCGCTGAAACAGTACAAATGCAGGCCTGTCTGACAGTTTCAACATTGTACGATTTGTTTCTTATTTGCTTGGAAATGTAAATTTAAATATCTGATCGGACGATTGAAAAACTATTTACTCTTTCTTTTTATTTCTCTTTATGTTTTTACAGACAGAGTATGTGATCTCTCTCTTTTTTTTCTGCGCTTTTAGAGAGAATACAAAAAGAGCATATGGATTCTTCGGCGATGGTGGGCCGGAGTTTAACGGTGGTGCTGGTAGACTTATCCTTGGTGGTCCGGAACCATCACAAACTCCGGTAGTAATAATCCTTAGCTGAAGTATTGGAATTAGATTCCTGAAATATCCGGAAACAAAGTTTCGAGTGGAAATGCTTTCACCGAAAAATAGCCTTCTAAATGAATTTCATGCAACTCAGCAGCAACATTCGTTTCATATTCAAGCAAATACCAACGCTTTTTTTCTAAGGTGGGTCAAAGCCTGGAACTTTTTATAATCTTCAGTCGCCAACGATCCAAAAAGACAGGTAGAAATCCTAAAATTGATTTAGAAGGGAAAAAGGTGATGAACTTCTCATGATCGAACTCTCTTATTTATAGGTGAAGATATGTAACCATTGGGATAGGAAGAGGTGTATTGAATGATTTGGCTTGAGATGAATGGGTCGGTGATGTTAATGACAACATTAACTGTGTTAAGTGAATCTAATCGACAACGACAACCGTTTGCAGCAGTGTCTTTATAATTTTTTGGATAGACAGATCGACATGAATGCGGCGATGTAATCTCAGGGAGAAGAAGAAGAAGTGTGTCGTCGTTAACCTAAGTTAGGGCAGGCCCAATTTTAAATAGCCCAAACATAATAACAGACATTCTTCTATTTAATAACGTAAGTCACTTAAAATAACAAACTGCAAAGCCCAAATGTAGAAGGACACGTGTCGGCATTTTATCTCCTTAATTAGTGACGTGGCACTGTACAATGAGGGAAAACTTTAGTTTATAATAATAGATATTACAGCGGACAATTCTACCAGTCTTATGCGGATTCACGTCTGACTGCATCACACTGAGCTGCCCTATGAGATCCATTCCTGATGATACTCCTTGCGCCATGCTGAAAATCTCTTGTAAGTCTTTTCTCCAGTAATCTGCATAATTCGTCATCCACCTTCTCTGAGAATTGAAACCCTCCTGGTGTAGAAACTGCGTAGCCTGGGATTCGAACCCCATACCTGGTGTAGAAACTTTTGAACCTTAACCACTAGGATACGGTGCTCCCACCATTTACCAAATTGTTTAGTTATTAGTGTTTAGAATTTATGGTTACTATTTTGTTGACGGCGTTAAAAGAGTTAAAAGAAAAAAATATTGCTACTATTATTTTTATTTATTTTACCTTTTTATTTTTAAAACATTACATAATTTGGTAAATTTCTATTATTTTGTTTTTAAAATATGAAATAAGAAATAACAAAATATTATTGGTTGATGAACCTACAAATTCACCATATGGGGTGAATCCAAGAAAAACTCTGCAAAAATCAAAGAATATAATACTACTTTTAGAATGTTTTTATTACCATAATTGAGAATCCAGCTTATTTTGATTGTTTAACAAAAAATGTTTAATATAGATGTGATAAAATAATAAAAATATATTAATCATGTAAATAATATAATTTGTGTATTTAGAATTACCCACTCTGTTATTTTATGTATGTAATATAAATAAAAAATAACTAATTATAAATTTGATTTATATATTTTTAAAATATTATTATAGTAAAAATATAAAATCTTGAATTCGCCACTGGTTAGTAATATGATTATTTTCTTTATTTTAGCAATTTAAACAGGCTGGCCTTTTTCTATGGGTTGTTTGGACTTTGACTTGGTTTTATTTCAAAAATGTATTTAAATCAGGGGCGGAACTACGTGATGTTGGAGGAGACAGCTGTGCCCAGTCAAAATTTTAAAATAATAAATTTGTAGCCTTTATAAAAAGATAACTAGATTTTGATCTGCACCTATTCATATATGGGATCATTAAATGTAATGTGGGATCTTCATGGGTAAACTCCAATCATATTTCAGGAGTTTCATGGATTCTGCGTGATGCAAATGGGTCTACAATAATGCATAGTCGCCGAGCCTATTCATATATGCACACGAAAACAGAGGCTGACTAGTGGGTTCTTTTTTGGGCGGTGGAATGTTTATAGACTTTACATTTCTCAAATATTATTTTTGAAACAACTTCGGAGGGTCAGCATGATGTTATCACGAAGCCCACAGATCAACATTCTTTCAGCCACATTCGCCACAACATATCCTTTCTCCTGGCAAGGCTAGATTCGCGGTGTCTGAAACATGTTCTCCCGAACCGCAATGAAGCAGCAGCAGCGATCGCTGAGAGTGTTACCCACGATTCTCGGCACCAGTCGTACATTGCACGAAATGCACCGGTGTGGCTCCATCATCTCCTTGCTTTGGAGTCTCAGTAATAGAGGGTATTGGTGAGGTTTCTTTAGGCATGGGCATTCGGGGTCCCATTCGGGTTTCGGTTTTATCCAATCGGGTCTCGGTTCTTCGGGTTTATCAAAATCAGCCCCATTCGGATTATTTGAAAGTTCGGTTCGGGATCGGTTCGGGTTCTATCGGGTTCGGGTCGGGGTTAGTAAATCTTTAAAGAACCGGTACAACCCATTATACTTTCGGATTCGGGTCCCAATCGGTTCTTTGGTTTAAAAATACTTGATTTGTACGTATTTTGTAACCAAAACATAAGTAAAATCGGTTCTTCGGATTTAAAATACCTAATGTGTAACTATTTTGTAACCAAAACATAAGTGAAAATTGATTCAAAAATCAGAAAGAAACATCAAACTTGATCATTCAAAATCAATTGAAAGGTAAACATAGTTATTAATAGAAAGAAAACCAAATAAATGAAAGCGTAAACGAAAATCAAGTTCTTAAAAAATGAGAAACATTATTCAATAATAACAAAACATTAATCTAAAAATTTCAAGTTTCAACCGCCACCTTCAACCATTAACCTTCTTGTAATAGATAATTATTTTATATGTTTAGTAATATCTTAAAATATTTTGGATATATATTAGGAATTAAGATCATGTTCAGTACACGTTCTTATTAAAAAATTTGAATGTTTCGGGTTCTATCGGATATCCATTTAATTTCGGGTTCGGTTCGGATAATACCATAACCCAAAATACCATAAATAAGATCCATTCGGTATTTAAATCGGATTTGGATCTGTTCGGATTCATTTTTATCGGATCGGATTCGGTTCGGATTTTCGGGTTCGGTTTATTTGCCCAGCCCTAGGTTTCTTTCATTGTTGATGTCTACTGACATTACTCCTTCTCTCTTACGTTTTCTTTTATGTACCACTTTCCAAACTCATCAATGTATCAAATGATTCGATTTCTATTATATAATAGTTTTATATGTGAAATTTGATGTTTATTTAACCTTTTAGTAGGGTCTTTTCATTGAGTTTTGTATAACCGAGTCAGTTTTTGGTTGAACCGAAAATCAGAAAATTAAGTGTTGTGAGAGTATGAAGAATTAAAACACATATTAAATTGAAACCAAAAATTGGATGGGTCCATGGCCCATAGTAAGTTTGAAAAATCAATACTATTGAAAAGGTCTGAAACCAAAATTGGTTGGATTTCTAACGGTTCTGGAATGTGTATAAACGTTCTTGTTGTTACAACTTAAACATCCAAAATAATATCATCCACCATTTGTATCAGTGGCATAAATTGTCACAAAAAAACCCTACATAGTTTTTCTTTAAAAAAACGATAAATCCATAAATAAACAATCAAAGGAGATGCCAACTTCCATATTAGTATAGTTTTTGAAAATGCAATACCTCAGATGTTTCAAGTAACTCCTGAAGATTCTTTTTAGGATAATGCATCTATTTATTTTGCTTTATCTGCAACTTAAGCTTGTTCTCGTTTGATTCAGCCAGGGTTTACGCTTAAGAATCATCATTACCTCTGCAATTATAAATAAGTTTTATAATTTAATCTATACTATTATAAAGTGAAAACATTTTTATTGAAGTAGATAAAAAGTTGATTAAATTCATTTGCCTCTGCTATTTCAGGATTAACAAACATCTTTGGGTTGCGGGTCAAACCCGCCCCGCTGACTTGCACAACCCGTGAACATATAAATTTATATCCGCATTCGCCCAACTTAATTTTGCGGGTAACCTGCAGGACCCGCGGGTTAGATTTTTTTAAAAGATAATTATTTAATTTATTTTTTATTAAAAATAAGAAAATTATATATTTATAATAAAAATTATATATTCAAAAAAATTTATTCTTATTTGTTTTTAAAATCACCGTTTTTAAAAAATATTTTTTTTTTACAAAAACAAAATTTCTAACAATAAACACAATTTAAAAAAAAGAGAAAAAAAAGTTACGGGTTGGCAGGTACCCGCGATTCAAAATCCACCAACCCGCACCCGACCCGCATAAAATACTCATAACCCGCACCCGCCCCGCATCAGGTTAAACGGGGCGGGACCTGCGGGTGATGACTCAGATTCCCAACCAGTGGCGGATCTAGAAAGGTTTATTATAGGGGGCAAAATTTTCAAACTTTACAGATGAGGAATAATTAACCCTAGATTTGAGGTTTTAAGGGGGGCAAATTTATTCAGTTTCTCCAAAATTTTATTATAAATAGAAAAGAAAAAATTTAAAAACAAAATCCATAGGGGGCAAATGCCCCACCCTTGCTGGCTGTACATCCGCCACTGGTTATCTCTATGAGTTGTGACAATGATGCTATTCACGGGTTCGGACCATTGTTGCCATGGAATCTTAAAGTTGATTTTGGTGATGCCAGTTCACTTGAGAATATCTTTAAAGGTATGAATAAATGATTAAATGGTTTTCTGCATTCGATCTTAATTAGTGGATCATGTTATTGTTATGATCATTGCAGAGAAGGGAGATAAAATAGCTGGATTCCTTTTTGAGCCTATTCAAGGATAAGCTGGAGTAAGTATTCTTCTTTTTTCTATCAATAATAATCGTTTTAGAGGATGAATCATATTAATGGTTTTGTATTGCTTTGGAGTTATAGGTTGTGATTCCTCCTGAGGGTTATTTGAAAGCTATTAGAGAACTCTGTACAAAACACAACGTTTTGATGATAGCTGATGAATTACAAAGTGGTCTAGCGAGATCTGGAAAGATGTTAGCTTGTGACTGGGAAGATATTCGTCCTGACATGGTGGTATGTTGTATTAGTATTCGATATTGCAAAGCCATTATAAAGCTTATCTGAAAGTCATTTGAGTTTGCTTTTTGAAAGATACTTGGGAAAGCATTAGGTGGAGGAGTGATTCCAGTAAATGCAGTGCTTACTGATAAAGATGTGATGATCCATATCAAACCTGGCTAACACGGAAGGTTTGCATAATTAAGCGTTATATATTTTTCATGGGGGTGTAATGAAGTTAGCGTTATAAAACTATTGTCTTGGTATTCAAGAATAGTTCTTCTCTCTCCCATTGCAGCATGTTCATTCGTAAGTTGTAACTCCACTATATTTCGTAAACAATTTATGACCATTATTTAGTTATGTGTTTTGTTCCTATTAACGTTGGGAATCTGTTATATTGTTTGTAGCAAGAAAATCAATAAGCATGTGAAAAAACTAGACATTTGTTAATTTTTTTTTTGTCTTTTATCATTAGAATGGCCAACATGAGCATGTGATAATTGAGATTCTATTTATCTTTTTAGACCATTAAAAATTAGTCTTCAGTGACTATATTACCATTGTTGGTTTGCAAATATTTTTTGCTTGAAAATTAAATGTTACATTTAGAATTGTAAATTTATTTTATTTTTATAAATTAACATTTTAGTGTAGATCTTATAAAAATTGATTATAGAGGTTTTGATTATATATAGCATAATCTCTACAATAAAGACCGGGGTTTTTCGTGTTCTGTGTATGTACATTGTTATAGGTAAAAAAATATGAGATATTTGTGGAGGTACATCAGAAAGTAATTTTTAGTAAATGTGATTTACTCTTATTTCATACATATGTGGAAGTTTGTCAATGTAAATATAGATGTTAACTTTCATGGCCTGTGGCTTAGTCTATAAGGGCATTAATTATCAAACTATTGTTGTAAACATCATTGCGCCATATAGATCTTGAGAAACCATATAGTTTCTATAATGCAGTAATGCACTATAAATAAAAACGTAATTTTTAGTTAAACCTTTATTGATTGTAAAGTTAAAAAGTTATTTTATCACGGGGATTAACAATTTATTTTCATAAGAGATCAAATATGTAAAATAAAAGATAATTTGTTTAAAAATCAAGTTTAATTAAGTCTTTATCCATTAGGAATTCTCTCATTACTAATAACTAGGAATGTCAAACAGGTTGGTCCGTCCCGTCCCGTCCCGTACCGCAGTGGACTCGTCTTTTCGCGGGTCAAGGTGGGTCAGGCCCGCGCGGGCTGCGGTCTCCAGAAGGCTGGCCCAATCCCGTCCCGCCAATATGTACAGTCCTTTACAAGTCGTCCCGCGGGATTAACAGAATGCAAAATGGGCGTGTGTCATGTGAAGTGATTCATCATCCACACTCCTGAATAACGAAAGAAACACTCTAATTCATTATTATAGATATCCAAATATACTATGGCAATCCGCTCTTCTGATAGTAGTACACTTCGTCTCTCTCTCTCTCTCTCGTTGTTTCAGGTTGCGCAGAAATGGAATGGAGCTGTGGAGGCTAGGGTTGCGGGACATCCAAATCCCGCGGTTACCATGAGGCCGGTCCCGCTTTGGCCCGTCCCGCCACAAGCCCGTCCCGCCACAAGACCTGCCCGCAAGGCCCGCTAATCTGCGGGATTCAAAATTCTCGGCCCAAACCCGCCCCTCAGCAAGCCTTAACGGGCCCGGCCCGCGGTACAAGCCCTCCTTTGACATTCCTACTAATAACCATCCCAAATATATTTTGGATAATTAAAATCTACCAAATTTTGATAATCAAACATGATTTACATTTATATAACATGATCATATTATATATAATAATGATAAAAATAAATGTTTAGCAAACCAAGCCAAACAAACACCTCGGAGATATATAATCAATTGACAACAACTAAATTATATCCATCTTAAGATAATAGAGAAAAAATTTCATACCTTTTAATATTATAATATCTCAATATATTAGTGGCTAAATCAGTTTTCTTTCGCACAAACACTCACTTTATTAGTGGAGTTTAAATTTTTCTATCTAATGATATTAGTAGTTTGATAAGAAAAATGGCCGAACTTTACATTGTAACTGAAGAAAGAAAACAAACAAAAATCAACCGAAGACATTTAAGGTGTAATTAGTGTTGAGTGAAGAAGAAAGAAATGGAAGGCAAAAACATAATGAAAGTTTTGAAAATATGATGTCTTTACTCAAAAATTATAAGAAAGTGAGTCATTACTGAAAATTAGTCCAAGAAAGTAATTGAAATGACGTCCAAATAATATATAAATATTAAATTATTAAAGAGGGAATACATGATATATACAAACAGAAATATATAACTTATTTACAAATAAAATTTTCATATATAAATCAAGAATGACTAAAAAATATGCTCATCAAATATATTGTATATTTGCGATAGATATTTTCAGTTACATTAATATTTTCATGATACTCTTTTCTTTATAGCAAAATAGTAAACAATATAAATATCGTATACACTACTAAAAAAATACGAGATCCTTTAAATAATAACAAACAAAAGATAGAATCAAAGTACAAAAATTAGAAATGGGAATTCTCACTACAAGAAAACTAAGCCATTACTAGGAAAATTTACTAGGAAAACATTTCCTCGTAAAAATACTACTAGTTTACTTCGACTTTACGAGGAAACATCTTTTCCTCGTAAGGTTCTCGTAAACTTACGAGAAAAGCGTTTCCTCGTAAAGTGGAAGTAAATTTACGAGGCTCTTACGAGGAAAATGTTATTTTCCTCG